AATATATATATATTATATATGAAATTTAAATTTAAAAAATTTTTGATATTCTAAGGATATTCTGAGCATCCTACTTACGTATCTTTAACCCTTACGTGATTTTGAGTATCAGCCGAATCACCTATGATTTTAGTTTCGCGCTAAAATATATTGAATGCATAAGCTGCATGAACTGCCTCAGAGGCACTTTATGCAGTCTCATTCACCGAAAGAGGTCAAGCATTTGGCGGTAAGTTGAATCATGCATGCAGCGAGTGTGCAGAGAAACGGAACGAACTTCTATGCGCATCATGCAAGAAACAGAATGCGTCCTCATCTTAAGCGTCCTCACCTGAGACAATAGCATAACGCCGCCTTCACATGAAAAAGATTCTAAGCAAAACGGTCACAGTATAAGTACATATAGTATGAACATTGAACTTTTTTTTGTGGTCTCCAATTTTTAATGCGCATGCGTTGGTTTCTAACCGGAAATATGGCTGCCTTCAGTAAGTTAAAATTGCAGGTTAGGTTAGGTTAGATTAGAGGTTAGGTTAGGGTTAGGTTAGATTAGGTTAACTGGCCCTCCTTCCCATAAAGTACAATTAATCAAATTAAGTTTTACTAAAAAATTAAATCAAATTTTTTCGGAGACGTTATATTGTGTAGACTGTTATATTTGTTTACGATAAAGTATTCTCGTAATAAAGTATGCATTTGTGTACTTATATTATTAAATTACAACTTCACATTTAATTGCAATTTTTATGCAATATATTATATTTTCATACTTAATTATTCAATTACAATTTTCATATAGTATTTAATCAATTATTATAATTTACTTATTACTGTTTAATATTATTATTATTATCAATGTGAATATTATCTATATAATGATTCGTTAACATTATATTATTATATAAATATGATTTAAAAATATATTTGATATAAATAATTTTCATAACACGATCGAATTATGTCTTTTTTTTTAGAAAAATCATTCTGTAGCTTTATAAAAACTCAAATTTATAAGTCTTTCCAGAACATGGCGGTGAGTCTGGGGACCCACTACATCAAAGATGCCGACGCTCAGTGTCCATACTGTATGTACAGAATATACTGTATGTACTGCATTATCAAAATCCGGACAAATCGAACAATTTCTTTGAACAAAATGTTTTTAATGAATAATTAAATATTACAAAAATATTTTTACATGGCACTTGGGGGACATCCCTGTAGAGGGATGCAATTATTCGATATATCTCCCATTAGCTTAAAAACAGCCTCTATTCTCGGTCTAAAGCGTTCGTACGCCCGCTGCAATGTAGCTGTCTGTGCTGTCTCAATAACGGTCCTTAATGCACATTGGGATGCCGAGATTTGTTTATGATCTTTCAACTACGCTCCATACGTAATAGTCCAAGGGATTTAAATCTGGGCTGTTGGGAGAGCCAGAATTCCTTGGACCAAAACATATCGATAACATATGTCTGAGAGCCAATTTTAAATCAAATGACTCGTATGAGCCGGTGCACCGTTCTGCTGAAAAATATATGGCCTTCCGGACGCCACAGTTTCTATCTACGGCTTCACTATATCCATCAGAACGCGAAATACTTCTTTTGTGACAGTTTCCCCTTTTTTAAAGAAATGTGATGGCATGACATCACCTTGATTGGACACAACACCTAGCACGTGAACATTGGCCGGAAATTTCTGGCAACAACAGAGACATCCTTTGGAGTTGTAGGCAAGCCATCGATCATTCCTTCGATTGATTTTGGCATTACAGTAAAAATTTTTTTCGTCAGAAAAGAACCTGATTCGTCCCGACGCTTCGTTTTTCAAAGAATAGCAGATTGCAGTGAGCAACTCGGCTGAGACTGTCAGTCTCCTGGCAGTCTCAGAAAGCATCTGTCGTATATTAATATGTACGATTTGTATTGAAGATTCTCCTCGGCAATTCGACATTGTTGGCTCGCTTACACTAACAATCGATGCTAATTTTCGCAACAATAGCCCTGGGTCATCCGAAATCAACACTTGAACCTTTTCAACTATGGAGGAACTATGGAGGTTCTCGCGGTGCGTTCTTTCGAGTGACTCTTTTTCGGTGGCATATTGAAATCTTCGTTAGACTATTCTAAAGCCGTATATTTTGTCACAATGTCATAAACGGTTGATCTCGAATATCCAAAGAATCGAATTATTTCCGTTGCTGAGCGCCTTCGATCGCGGCTTTTCGATTATACTCCGCATTTGGTTTTAACATCGCGGCCATTTTGAGAATATGACTTTACTAGAAGTTTTTTCGGACGCCAACAACAATCTCTGGCGGAGACACAATATAGCGGAAAATTTAAATTTGTCCGGATTTTGGTAACGCATCCTGTACTAGGGTAAAATCACAGTGCAGGATAGGACTGAAATAGAAAATGCGTCATTGAAACAATCACTCAGCGCTATTCCGCATTTGATATTGCGGAATAGTGAGTGCGTCATTGTTCTTGTAATAAACCATCGTATTTTGATAGGTTAAAATAATTCGATGCTGATATGATGGAATGCGTAATGCCGAGATGAATGAAGCAAAATGACAAAATCTGAGTGCATAAATATAGATACCAAGATTAAAAAAAACAATGACGCATTACACGATTTCAGTGTGCCTTTTTCGTACTTTTCCATCACGCCAGTTTTGTGTGCGTTCACACGATGCGGAAAAATGATAATAAATGCGTTAAAACAGTTCAAAACATTGTTATGAGATTGTAAATATTAATTGTAAAACATTAAATACTACAACAATGATAATTGTTTTTACAATTTGAAAAATTCTATTTCATTTTAATAAGTAAATTATTAACATGAAGTTAGTAGTTTTTAAATTATATTCATGCTGGATACATCTTTGATGCATCATGTGAACATAACGCACAAAACTTGTGTGATGGAAAAGTGCGGAATAGCGCTGTCGTTCGATTGTAACAGGGGAATACTCGACTGTAGTTGGTTCTTACCGGATTCTCATCCGGATTAAACCCTCGGTGGAAACTAGGCCAGTGACGCATTCTGTATTCCGCAGTCCTATTTCGGACCGTGTGATTTCATACTTATACTCTGATGGTCACAGTATAACCAGTAGAAATAATCAGCGAAAAAATGTGTGTTCGCGCAGATATAGCTGCGCAGCTTTTGTTTTGGGCTGGATCCAATGAAATGCAAGATGACAAGAATGTATATATTACACTGCTCCCGTGTGAGCAGATATCCGTGGCAAAAGAAAACAATTTAATAGCTGCGCCATAAATATTTCTAAAAAATATGCATAATACAATATACAATATACAATATATAAAATATACAATATACATAATTATTTATTAATATACTTTTATAATTATGTTTAATTAGGTAAAACCACAAATATAATATTTTTTTTTATTTTATATCTATATTTACATAAGTAAAATTTATATTTTTGATATTTTTTTTACGAAAAATAACTAAATAAAAATGTTTGTTTCATAATTATTAATTAATAATAATTACTTAATAAATTTGATTTATTTACTAGTTTTTACTATTTTTGAATTAATTTTGTTCATTAGTTAGTATTTTTGTAAAATTTTTTAGTGTGGGATTACATTATTACTCAAGGGGCATTCTCTTTCGATCCTGGATTTTTCAAACGTTAACATGGTGGATGCTCACGTGACTTCGACGCGAAGATCAAAGATGCCGACACGGAGTGTCCTGCTGGTTATGCTGTGATATAGTCAATGAGCGCGTAGAATCCGCCTTAAGGAAAATCCTTCCTGTTGCGCAAGAGAGTTTGGAGTGGGGGCATGGGACGCCTAAGGTTATATCCACACAAATTTGCATAGCCGCATAAATGCATACATAAAGAAAATTATCCATAAATTATACTATAAACGGGGAGCACAAACTCTTGCATAACACATAAAACATGAGAATCCTTTATTTCATGGAAAGGAAGGAAATAAAGGATCTTGGTTCATTCTCTTATGCATTATGCAAGAGTCTGTGCTCTCTCTTAGTAGAGGAACTTTATGCCAGGAGTGCCAGAATCAGTGCTCTCATAAACCTACTGCCTACTGTTTCAGACAGGTTATCTACTGTCTTTTTTTTACTTTATTTTACTTGTACATAATATTTTATGTTATTGCTCATTTTACTCAAAGATTGGTATCTAATTGGTATCTTCTATTCGCCGTTATTTACGCATCTCGCGCATCCTTCTGATTGAACGTTAGTATCGTCGTATACGCTACTCGTGTGTCATTGGTCTAGCGTTCAATATTCTGTAACTTTTTAACGATAATTTTATTTTATTTTATAATAATATAATTTTATTTTATATTATTAGGGATGTCGTTGCGCAGGCATTTTACATGGCGCAGAAGAACAAAATAATTAATAATACATAATAAAGTTATAGTTTTCCATTCAATATTACTGTTATGTATAAGGCATATTATATTACAGTTGCATTGTTGAGTGAAAAATTGTAATATTAATGTTATTTTTTTTGTGTTTCTTGGAAAACAAAAAATATATTTTTATAAAATTATAAACTATAATTAAATAAAACATAAATTATAATTTCTGTTCTTCCTATTATTGAGATTATTGAATGTTGTATTATTTTTTATAATAAGTATTTGAATTATTTATTTTATACAGATTAGAATATTTTTTTCTGTTAATTTTTACAAAATTTGTAATACTCATTTTCAAAATGACTAAATAAAGATTAAAGAAAAAAAGTGAATGAGTACATTCTTTTTATTATAATTTCTATTTTATTCGCTACTGAGTTGTTTTCGGTATGTATTACAATATTTTTTTCTATTTTCTAATAGTTTTACGAAATTTCTTGAAAAAAGACTCTACCGATTTGAGTTTGAAATCTACTGCTTTTTTAGTGTACCATCTATCGTTCAATTTTTCAACGTGTGGCCAGGTGCTGCCAGCTAGGACGGGAGGGAGCGACCGAGCGTCGAGGAAGCATCGAGGAAGCGGGTGAAAACAAGCGATGCTCAAGCTGAATGAAGGCTCGTGTCGCGTGCCTTTGTTGATTGCCGCTGTTTCTCGAGAGGGGGAAGCGCGTGAGATCGATTCGTTCCCAGCTTTTCGTTCTCGGCTTTTCTTCCAAGAGATACCTCCCAAGTCTTACGCGTTAGTCGCGTAAGACGTAACAGAACGTGCATCTCCGCGAACAGGCGTCTCTTGCCTGTCACTCTCAATTCTAATAATCGCGCCGGCGCGATTATTCGAGCGACGACGATGTAGACATCCTCGACCGCCGTTTGCGGGGATGTCGACTTCGGCACGACCACTCGTGAATATCACGTCGACGACCACCGCAAACATACGGAATCTTATCTTTCTTAGGAGATGTCTTGCAGCGATGGCGCGCGACCGACCCGTAAGTTCGGCACAAAGTCGCCGAAGAAGTTGTGCGTGACCAAGAGCGAGAACGGCGACAAAACGACGACGACCATCAGCTGTATCGGCCATCGTCACAATCATCACTATCATCACGGGCATCATCGCTTCCTAGACGGCTCCTCGCAGCCCTCGGTACACAAGCGCAATCTCTACATTGTCTCCTTTCCCCTGATACTACTGTTCAATGTGCTGCGCACTCTGCTGTATCAGTTGTTTGTAGTGTTCAAGTATCTGTATACCTCCACGTCTCAGCTGATACAGCGTAGACAGACATCCAAACAAGCTTGTCAATTGGAGATTGTTGTGGGACAAAAGCCAACAGATGGGCGTTTGATCAATGGTAATCGGATAGAAGGCGAGGCCATGTCGCAAGTACCTAGACGTCCTATCGGGCCAGGACCCGGAGATCCATTGCTAGCTAAGCAAAAGCACCATCATCGCAGAGCCTTTGAATTTATTAGCAAAGCACTCAAAATCGATGAGGATAATGAGGGTACATACATTGGGACAAGTTATTTTATATATTGTATATGTGTATAAATTAAAAATTTATTTAAAAGTCTCCTTTTTAGTAGAATTTATATATAGCTTTTGATACTTTTAATTGATAATCTTATTCTCTTACTTACTTATTTACTCATTGGGACAGGACAAAAGGAAATGGCGATAGAATTGTACAAAAAGGGAATTGGAGAATTGGAGAAAGGAATAGCTGTAGAATGCACTGGTGGACACGGCGAAGTATGGGAGCATGCGCAAAGACTTCACGACAAGATGTGTACGAATCTGGCAATGGCAAAAGACAGACTTGATTTCCTTGGTTAGTATACTCGTTCTGTTGTAGTACATCCGCACATTGCCGTGTCCAACTTAAAACTATATTCCAAGCTTCTTTACCTATGATACAATGACAATTTTGTTTCTTACGAATAATAATAATAATTATTATTATTATTGATATGTATTTCCCAACAAGAGTGGATTAAAATGGATTAAACTTTTTCTATCCGAATGCGTATTTTAAATAAATGCGAATATTTCTTTTTTTTTTATTGGATTCAATTGAATGCAATTGGATTCAAAAATTGCATTTCCTATTTAAAATTTTGAATTGAACAGTATTCAATTGTATTTGCACAGAAAAAACTAATATTATTTTTAGATTGAAAGGTATAGAGATATGTTCCATGCGATTCCTATAAATGAATAAAATGCATTCAAGATTGAAAAGTATTCATTTTAACATTCGTGAATCAATATTTCTGAAAATCTGAATCCATTTCAATTATTTATTTCAATCCATTCTCATTTGCTGGGTGTACGTCCACTTTATTCGGCAACAATATCCACAGGTAAATCTTTGGCAATGGCAAGAGAAAGAATTTCAATGTGTATTTAGCATGCTCGTGTGCAATTTACTTTAATTTTTTTTTAAAATACACACGTGCGTGTGTGCATGCATGCGCACGCATGTACGTGTGTGTGTGTGCGTGCGCGCGCGCGCGCGTGTGCGTGTGTGCGTGCGCGCGTGTGTGTGTGCGTGTGTGCGTGTGCGCGCGCGCGCTTGCCGCGTATAATTTTCTTATTATAATTTCCTATGTATAATTATTATTTACCTTGAGCACAAGTCAATCTTTATTTTGCATTTTTTTTTATATTTCTATTCGCAGAAATGTAAATGAAAGAAAAATTGGCGCGAATCTATGTCGATAGACAAAGTACTGAGAGCAAAAAATATTAAAAGTCCAATCTCATTAAATGTCATGCGGCAGCATCTTGATAACAATGAAAACGCGTGCTTTTTGCTCCGAGACATTTAGCGATATTGGCATTTTGTTACATATTTGCTACATTACATACTTGCGCGATACGACTGAAGGATTAGCCTGATTTTCTTTTTTAGCTGTCTATAGCCTTACTGCAGCATGGCAGAGAATGTTTTTTTCCTTTTTGTAGTGAGTGTGCGTGAGCTGAGAAAGCTGGGTATCAACAATAATATCAACAATCGCGCACCTGGAAATAAAACGGACGGCGAACATCCGGGAAAGCATCTGAGGGCTCGCCGCAACACGCACACTTTTCAAAACGCTCGATCTTCACCCAACATTAATCATAATAAGAACACAAACAATATACACACGACAATTAACGCTGGACAGACTATGTGTACCCAGATTCCCAAGTTAAGGCCACGTTCACCAAAAAACTGTTTCGCTCATACTATTGAAGGTATTGTTTGCCTGAGATTCTGAGCCTGAGTGCGAAAGAAAGTCGAATGCAAGTAAATAACACAGTAATGCTATTTAGTCGTTGTTCATTTGGAAGAGATACTCGTTTTATTATAGTTGTATACACATTTCTCATTTGACATGTATGTACAAGGATGAGAATAGAGTAGTTGAATGTGGACTTGCCTTAATTGCTTCTTTGTATTTTTTTTAACATAGATTTTTAAATCTGCTGCATTCCACTTATTATACGATAAAGTTTTTCATAAAGCCTAAAGTAAATTTAGAACATTTATACGTTATTTATCAAATACACATTAAGACAAATTAGACGTACGATCAAAGGTACAACACATGTACACTGTCATGTTATACCCATATATATTTCACATACATATACATTCACAATCACATAAAATTTAAAAATGATGTATAATTTTTTCATAGATTTAATATTTATGCGATTTTCATTAGTGATAGCTAAAGATAATGTGTGACGAGACAATGTATCTTTATTTCTCTTCAAATTTTTCAAATCGAAACAAAAGTTTAAAAAAATCGATATATTTTTTAATATACATACATTAAAATTACCGAATTAAAGAAGAGATTTGATTTGTTTGCTAATTAATTTTTATTACCTGTCGCATGAATATCGCAAACATAACTTATTGTTCCATTGAATTTTACATTGCATCTAAATTATAATTCTGCTTTCGACTGAAGCGAGACACCACACGATACACGTAGTGCAATTGTAACTTTATTAGAAAATGCAAATAGTAGGAAGTATTTTTTATTTGAATGTACATAAAAATCCTAACATAAAATTAATTAGTTTCAACAATTTAATTATGTTATATTAGTGAGATAATATATTGCTGTTGCGATAAACATTTTTACACTCCTACTATTTATTACTAAATCGGACGATACAGATAATAATATTGAAAATAAATCCTGGCTGTGAAAATATTTTTTTCTTATTTTTATGTTTGCGATAGACCCTCTTATCTATTACACAGAAGCTTTAATCATATCAACAACTCTAGTAGCGATTCTTTTACATTATTAAACTGCATTAAATTTTTAAAAATTATCATTTTTAAGATTTATTTCTAAGTACAAGTATTGTTTCAGCATCTGGTAGGAAACTATCAGTCCCTGGTAAACGAATAATAGGAACACCCCTAAGTAAGAGCCAGACATTGCCTCGAAGTATGGGTAGATCGATGCCTATTCAACCTTGCCACAGAACCATGCCTATCAAACCGTCCTCCACACCACCCTCTGTAAAAAGACAATTGTCTGTACCGGGCAACGGTTCACCTATAAGACGTCCAGGAACACCGACCACTTCGAACAGTAACAGGAGTACGCCAACGAGAAAAGTACCTATTTTAAAAGGCGTAGATCCAAAACTCGCGCAAGTGATTCTCGATGAGATCTTGGAAGGAGGAGCATCAGTGCAATGGGAAGACATTGCTGGCCAAGAGGTATGTCACGAATTATCGTCGAATTATCGTCATCACTATTGTTGCTTGATGCAGATTATATTGCAAGAGAACATTGTCTCCATCAATTTCTAATTGTTTTGCTAAATAGATAGATAAATAAATAGATAGATATTTATTTCTTGCTTTACGGTTTTGAAAGAGGTTCTTACGTCGATCTGACATAGGTTTTTTTAACATATAAATACTTTTTCTGGCAAAAGATTTTAGTTGCTTAAATTTATTTTTTCGCTCTACACAAACAGCTCTAATTAAGTTATTCCTATGCTATTTTTTTATCTCTATTATACATTTTGTCACTAAATGTTCCAAAATTTCAACTTTGTTATGGCACAGACTTACAAATATTAAAAATTCAAGAAAAAGGAATTAGTAGTAGGGATATTTTTTTTTAATTTAACATTTTTCAAAAATATAATCACGTCATTACAAAGTATTTACAAAGTATAATCATGAAACTTTTTAACAATAATATAATTTTTATTTGAAACATTTTCTCGTATTTCCAATTATTTCCGAGATATTTGTTTCGAGAAGCATAAAAACCGATTTTATTCAAGAGAGTGCTGTACCTCTAAAATTGTATATCAGTTGAAAAAATTTTTTTTGTGATTTGGTTATCTACTCTAATTTATTTCAAAAAAATTTCAAATTTTTTTGAAATTTTATACCTGCCGATTTTTCTCGTTAGTCCAAAAAATATTTTCCAGCTATTGTGTTATTTAGCTCCATTTTGCAATTCCCTCTTGCTAAATATTTTTATTTAATTTCAACTTTCAGACCGCAAAGCAGGCTTTACAAGAGATGGTAATCCTACCATCGCTAAGACCTGAGCTATTTACCGGTCTGCGAACACCCGCGAGAGGATTATTATTGTTTGGGCCACCGGGAAACGGAAAGACATTGTTGGCACGCGCTGTTGCGACTCAATGCAACGCAACATTTTTTTCGATTTCTGCAGCTAGTCTCACGTCAAAATATGTTGGAGAAGGTGAAAAATTAGTGAGAGCTCTATTTGCCATTGCTCGGGAATTTCAACCCTCTGTTATTTTCATCGATGAAGTAGATTCATTATTGAGCGAGCGTAAAGATAACGAGCACGAAGCTTCGAGGTATGCCTATTCATGTGTTCTCTCTAGATAATCGCACACACACACACACACATCAAATAAATAAAGAAAATACCAAACAGTTGGGGCTAAATTTTGATATTTAATTTTATACATAAATTCTTATGCTTTTTTTAATTATACAGAGTGTCCCATTTTAATCGATCACCTAAAATATTTCTTGAACAGTGCATTTTAAAGAAAAATGTTTCAGGCAAAAGTTTTGGGACTTTGAGAGGGACATGGTATGGGTTTGACCTTGGCGTTATCAAAATTAGGACAAGATCACTTTGAATTTTTTAAATGGAATGCCCGATTTTTCATTATATATTCTTGTAGCTTACCTTGAGAGCTTTTCAAAACACTATAAATAAGGTCATTTTTATTAAATATCTCTTAAAGTGATCGATTAAAATGGGACATCCTATATAAACTGAACGTCAGGCTTACCATCAGATTTAAAACGAAATTATATATACTAAAGCTAAAATAACACAATTCAATTGATCATTTGTTAATGATGTTATTAGCATCTTCAATCATTCAAATATTGTAAAATATAATCTCAGTCAAGTTTCAAATTTGGAATCTCTCAATTATTCGAGGCTGATATCTTTCTCAATGATAGAATTAGAAAATTCATAGTTTCCAGATAGATGGAAGGTGCGAATTTTGGTATAATATTTTTCCCAAATACAGCAGTCTAATTAACTTATTATTGCGTGCGTGCGTGTGTGCGTGTATGTGTGTGTTGTGTGTGTGTGTATGTGTGTGTGTAGATAACATGGACATAGTGTTGATGGAAGAAACATGTATTTCAGGAGGCTAAAAACAGAATTCTTAGTCGAATTTGACGGTTTGCCATGCAATCCGGAAGAAAGAGTACTCGTTATGGCTGCTACAAATAGACCGCAAGAATTAGATGAGGCTGCATTAAGGCGATTCACAAAACGCGTGTATGTTACGTTACCTGATTCACAGACGAGGATTGTGTTACTCCGAAGACTCTTGGCCAAACACAATGATCCATTAACGCTCGAAGAGTTGAATGAGATGGCAGTTTTGACGGAAGGATACTCGGGAAGCGATTTGACTGGACTAGCTAAAGACGCAGCACTTGGGCCTATTAGAGGTAATACTAAAAATTCCTTGTATTTATTTTCAATTTTATATTATGAGTAAAGATATATCCAATTTGGTCACTCATTTTATATAGCACAATTACAATATCCTACAAATGTATTCTATCATTTTAATGAATATATGCACGCATAATGTCTAATATTAGAAATTAATTTTATATTTATATACCATACAAGTGTCAATTCTATTTAATTTATTGTATCAAATCTAACAAAAATATGAAGAAAATTCCATAAAATTTATGTTGTGTATAGAAAAGATTTGTTACTTGTTTCATTACAATATATCAAATTCATTACAATATATGTTATCATATTATTCTCAGAATTGAATCCAGATCAGGTGAAAGAATTGGATCTTAATTCCGTTCGTAATATCACAATGCAAGATTTCCGTGATTCTCTAAAGAGAATTCGTAGATCCGTTTCACCGGCAAGTCTAGCTGCCTATGAGAAATGGAACTTTGAGTATGGAGATGTGAGTCTTTGATTTGAAATAAGCCGCTCAATTAAGAAGCTCCAGAAAAATTTATGTTTCAATCGAATTTAAATCTCGTGATTAGAGAAATATTGGGGTGTCCATTGGGAAAGTTCATGCCGATTTTGAAAGAAAATTTAAACGCAGAAGATTTAAATTTTATACATTTATTAAATTTAAATCTTTTGCAGCACGAACTTTCCGGACAACTCAATATTTCAAACTATCGAAACCATGTAAAAAAAATCATATAATATCGAATGTCGACACAATAGTATAATTCTTATATTTTTATTCTACAATATCTTAGAACAATATTGATGTGTTTACAAAAAAAGAGTAGTGAAAAATTAAGAATTTGTTTCCTTTAAATCCCATAACATGCTTTTGCTTGGTGATGAAAAATCAATATAATATTTAAGGTCATTGTTATTTCACTCAAATCGTATTTCATTTATAACTTTATTAATTGTCTGAACTTTATTATACTTTAACAATGACAGTAGAGCGATCTTTTACGATAAATAAAACTTATGTTCAGGGAATGATTGATTTAACATCAAGTGTGTCTTAAAAAAATATCGCATTGATTTTATGAAATATAATACTCCATGTATTCTACATGTTATATCCAGTGATCGAACATTATAATTTACGGTTCAATACGTAGCTTTAATATTATCTTTAAGTTTAATATTAAAAAAACAGTATTGTTTATGTTTATTTATATATGTTGATTGTCCTTACGATTTATATAGTTCTTTTGTAATAGTTAATATTTGAAATCTATGATGAAATGATGCTGTTTGTTTTACAATAATTTGCATTTAATATTAGGATGCTAATTATCGCAACTAACATGTAATACTTACAATTAGAAGAAAATATGATTAAGCACAGAATCTGCAATTAGAGAGAATATATCTTTTTAAACTTGTAAATACTTTCAATATTATTATTTATAAAATTGACTCGAGTAAGTTGAACACAATGGCATATTATAATCCAATTCATTATTGCAATAGTAGAAAGATTATATTTGCAAATGGAACAGTGCACGTCCTATCAGATAATAAAAAATAAAATCTATCAATAATATATGCAATACGTATAAGAAGAGGATATTATATGTAATTGCGTAATTACTATATTCGTGCGATATGGTAGAATATACATATACAAACAGGTATCTCTGTAAAATCGAGTAGAATATTAAATTTCACTTTACACGCGTTGATTTTGTATAAAATGCACTAAAAAGTGTGTCTTCAAGTAAAGTTGATCTTCAAACGAATGTTAAACTTGTTACGTTTGATATACTATTTCGAAGATATGTTTGTTATTTATTAATATATTAATAATACGTGTTAAATTTGCGCTAGATTATGTACGATTCGAAGCAGTTTGAAATTCTTAATTTGTTATTTGTATGAGATTCGTGAATAGTGATATATTCATCGAATTCACATTTATCGTTTACCATTCGTACAACAATTCGCCAATGGAAAAATATTTTTTTTTATGAAATCAAGGGACGTGAATCATCACGAATCGCACATAATTTAATGCAAGCTTTAGAAATCACGCGGCCATCATGACGCACAGAATCACGTGTAAAGGTAAAGAAATATGATCTGGGAAAGGAGAATTGACATTCTGTTTTAATATAAAATTCTATAAGAGACAACGAACTGAGAATCCAATATGTGCTATATGAAATCCTAAGCATTTATATTTATAAGGAATCATGTATAAGCTCGATGAACATTGCTATCGTATTCACAAAAAAATGAAATTTGCTAATATATGTGTATGCACGTATGTCATGGTCAAAGTGTTAATTCAATAAATGTATACGTTGATTAGTAAGTGTATGCATATATTAGGTGTAGTAAAAAGAAATCCATTATTTTTTCAATTTCATACAAAAATTAATGGATTTCTTTTTACTACACCTAATATTAAAGTTAACATTTCGACTGTGATATATGCATACATATACATGTGTATGCGTACAGACACAAAAAATATGATATTTTTGTGACACTTATCTATTGCTTCCGATGCTCAAAAGTAAAATAATTATGCATGTATAATTAAACAAATTATATATTCAATATGGAACTATATCTTATAATACTCTGCAATGTGACACAAATTTATTGATTATTCCAGATCAAAAGCGATCATTCGTGATATAAAAATAGAATCTAACGTCCCTATAGTTTTTTAGTGTAAGACTTATCGTGCAAAGTAATAATATTAAAAACAGCAAATTATTTTCCAATGAGTTGCAAACAATTTTAAGCAAACAATGCTTCTTTGATACAATGGAAGAATAGAAAATGTTATTTGCAATCGAAATTAATAGTTATTTAATACAGATCTCTCTCTCTCTCTCTCTCTCTCTCTCTCTCTCTCTCTCTCTCTCTCTCTCTCTATCTCTCTCTATGTAGGAATAGAATACGATGCATTTGTTAAATAGATATTGCATAATAGAAAATAAAAATATAATAACAGATAAATGTATAATTCCAACAGTTTATTCTGCGACGCGACGCATAAATATGGCATTTCGAGATTCGCACTGTTATTTATAATTATAAAAATCGTGTGATGCTAAACAGCATTCAAGAGCTGTGATGTTACTGCGACGATAAACTTGATATTTTCACGGCACTTTAATATGTACTTAATGCACAAGAATGCGATATACAAATATTTTCTTTAATCATAATTCTGGGTCTTCTAGAAATTGTGATTTTATTCGTTTTTCTAGATGCGAGCGTATTTATAATGCCGCGATGAGTTCGATTTTTTTAAAATTCTAATTAACATGAAGCATGAACAGAGCTTCAGTATCGCTGTGAGTGGTGCTGACTCAAATTTTATCTCCAAATTACTTTGTGATATTAGTTTTTTATATTAATCTTTATGCACTGCCTATGTAGATTATAATATTATATATATCATATTGTGTATCGTATATATTGCAAAATATGAATTATGTTAGGTCTATTAGTTTGAAATTTATAATAATTTTGCAACAACTGTTCGTATATAAAGGTAGATTATTAAAAGACCCTGGCCTTCTATTGTGGAACACATGCTGAGCCTTGATTAAGTTATTTTGCTACTTTTATAATGTATAATGGTAAAAATTGAGTAAGAATAATCGGGTATAATATTTATACTAAATATTATATTTAATACCATTTAGTATAATGGTAAATATACAAGAGTTACAAGTTAAAAAAAACTTTGTGCTGATTACAAGATTTTTTCCCTTTTAAACATTATTTTTCTGATTTTTAACGTATCATTATATTTAGTTGTTTTATAAGTAATTGTATTGACAACTTTCAAAAAATAATTCATAATCTATTAATCAATATTATTAATAATATTGTATTAATATTATTAATAATATAATGTATTCTCTTGTGGCAAGCTTGTCAAATTACTCCTATGATTTTTACTAAAATAAATACTAATATAAAAAATAACCCGTTCCACGAGAAATGTATGATCTATTTAAACAATAATAAGATTGGAAATAAGACCATTTAAAGTAATGATCCATATACATATTATATATCCAGCAGTATTATGGAATATTTTCAGTAAGCCATGTTGTAAATTAATCAAACGTTAGATTATGCCATACATATACATTTTTATTAAATATCCTTTGGTATATATTATACTTGTTGCGTCGCCAACGACACAGAAATCCACGCGGACTCGGAATAAAGAAATCCGAACCCTGTGTCATTGGCGACATGGCATATTGTGATCGTAAGTTCGTGAGAACATTGAGAACGATAAAGATAATGACTCTTGTACTGAAACATAAAAATATAACGTATATTCTTTCACAAATTTTTTCGTCATTTTTGCTACATATATGTAGACGTATTTTTTTTATAGAGTGTGTTTCGTTTTCACGCTCACACGCCGTAAGCATTCTTTGTCTATCAAATATTGAACAAGGACAAATGATGCTTACAAGCATTACATAAACGAAAAAATGGAACGCATTAATATTTATTCACATTTGCGAACTCACGAACAATAGGATATATCGTCATACTATGGTAGTCAATCATGATAGTCCAATAGAATAATTATACATATCTATTTAATAGATGTTTATCAAAATAACTCGATTAAATCCCTAATATAAGAAATAGCATAACAGAATTGTACAGAAATGTAAAACATTCTAACAGTATTTCATCAGCGTATGGCTGATTTGAGGAATGCGTCTATGAAATATGTAATAAATGTATGTACAGTACAAATTATTTCCCTCATATTTGTGCTTCCTTTTATGTAAACAAAGTTAGAATCTTTAAAGATGCTTGAATCTCAATTTTCTTTCTTTTTTCTTTTCCTTCATTTAGTTTGTGACATTAAAAATTTTTTCTGAATTGAAATGTATTTAGAGGTAATGTTATTTATAACGTCCAAACTTTTTCGTTTATTAAATGATATTGTTATATGCGAATCGCGAAATTTACCAAAAAAAAATCGTAAACTTGAACTAAAAAGATACGAATGTTATTTTTCGCATGAATTGTCGCACAAGTGTGTTGAAACGTTTGCAAATAATTCCTCGAGAATGTCTTTCCAACTATCGTGGAAGGTTGTACAAGTATGTTGCAAAAAAAAAATAAAACCGTACTATACGTATATGTAGTTGAGCATTGTGTTAATTTTACGCTCACAATCGTGTCATTTATCATAGATTGATATACCATACATTACCATACTTCGTTCATTCTATTCAGTAATTATAAGGATCATAAGCAGATAGATTTCACGCAAGTGGAAGAAATTACTGTTGAAACAAACGGTAACACGAAATAATGCACGATATCATGTATTTTAAATATTTATTCCTTTTTTTTTCATTCAAAAGGACAATTTGTTTTTATTATATAAGATAACATTATCCTAAGCATCTTCGAGGGTTCGACACCCTGCCGTACCTAAATTATTCTTTATATAACATCTTT